CAAGAAATTGATTTCAGGTGGGATGTCTGCCGTATCACCAATGACAATCACATCGAACAAAATGACTATTTGAGGTAAAACGTGATTTATTTTGCTACAAAATGACACCTCAGCCGATTCTGTAAGCCTTGTCAATAAATTTCTATACACTTTGAAAGTTGTAAAGTCCTTTTTGAATCACCCTGTATAATATGGAACTGATTATATAATAAATGTTGCCACTAATTTCGACTAACTTTGGGTTTAAAGCTATAAATTATACATTTTTTGAATATATGGAACAAGACGGATGTATGTATTATGGACGGAGTTACACGTTATTTAGGATGTGTGTTCTTACCTGTTCACCATTGACGAACCAGGTTAGGTTTGCTGCAGGGTAGGACGCCCTTGAAGAACAATTGGCTTCAATCTTCTCCCCGGCCGTGTAACGATGTTTGTCTACCGTCAAAGTGGGCTTTTCAGCCGGGACATCTGCGTAAAATCAGAAATAAAAATTATTATCAAACCTCAGCTGCAACTTTGACACACGGATATAGTATTTGGCTCTTTTTACAAAATATTGAATGATCTTAAAATAAATTTAGGAAATTATTACCATTTTTTCGTACAGACTTGTTATCTAATAAACATAACACTGCGACATTACAAGACGCCAACAAAAGAGTAAAGTTTTTAAAATATGTATATGTTTCATTCGTCTATGCGAACAAATAAACATTGCAGAACTAGAAAGTTATGGACAAGTCCCGCAGAAAAATAATTGAACTCAAATGTTATTGAAAATGAAAATAATAGATGAGTTAAAATACACGTAAAATTCTGCCATAAAATAAATTTTATATACGAGGAAAGTTTCAAGACTGTGTCAATAGAGGGCGAACCGGATGTAGTACGAGCTTCTGCCGCTACGGGGTGCGGCCTACATTCATAGTGAATCAGTGTGCCAGCAGGCATCATCGAATTAGCATTTGTTTCTTAGTTACGGGCGTTTTGGTAGTCTGACGACCAGAAGCAGAATCGACTTCTCGTTTGTCAGGAGCTCAAAGATCTTGCAAGAACCGACCCCAACTTCCTTTCTAAGCTCCGTGTGACTTCTTCCTCTTCCCAAAGATGAAAATTCAGCTAAAGGGAAGGAGATTTGAGACGATAGAAGAGATTCAGGCAGAATCGCAGATGGTGCTGGACAGGCTGACAAAGAAAGATTTCCAGGCTTGGCAGCGGCGCTGGGATCGTTGTGGTCACTCCCAGGGGAACTACTTCGAGGGTGATGGATGAATTTAATACCTGAGATAAGTGTACGGGTTGTTATACGCGCAGTCTGGAAACCTTTCGATCGCACGTCGTATGTGTACTTATTGGCAGGATAAACATTTTTTTAAGTGCTGCAGTTTTAGGTAATGTTAGGATTATAAAACTGAACAGATCTTACCTGACAAATATTTGTTTTATCATCGGCTATAGATATTCCAAGTAATAAATTCATTCAAAATCCGTGGATACGACATGGCGAAGGATAGACAAACAAGACGTTCCTCGGTTCATTTAAGGCATGCTGTGTGAATGAAACATTAAACTTAATACGGGTATCACAGTGAGGGGGTCATGGCCTTAGTTCACAGCGAATCTAGTGAGCTCGGGGCCCTATATTCTTCGGGTGACACATTCACAAAAGGAATTAGTGACTAACGATTCAATAACGCAAGTCTGTAAACGGTGTGGAATGCATTTAATTCGAAAGCGACTACCCCCTGCCCTCAAACACACACACACACACACACACTTGAGTGAAGTGAGCGTTTAAATTCCTCATGAATTGCATGTGAAATGGAGTCCGGAACGTCAAAATTGAGGAACGTAGATTCTTTCAGTTGTCTTCGCTCATATGGTACAGCACTATTCTAAGTGTATGTCCAAGAGTTAGCTCAAACCTCAGAGCAAACGACCTACATGGACCTACCGAGTGTTCCGTAATCATACCCCGATATAAGACGCTTTGTGATTTATCTTTGATTCCGAAATGCAAGGACTAGCTAAAGACTTAATCTAATGTTACTTGACGTAGGTAAACAACACTGCTGAGTGATATGGGCCATTAGAAAGATAATTACGAACAGTTGAAGTTCACATGTTAAGAAGGAGGCAGCCAAGATATATTCTGACATTGGCAACAACGGAAATTAAAACGACTCAAGATTTATTTAGGACTTCCAATCCTCCTCACTTTGAGTTTCTTACTTATTAAAGCAGCGTAGTTGTGGCCAAGACCGCCACGCTAGCCTAGTAATCCTGGGGTCCCGGGTTCGATTCCCGGTGGTGCCCGAATTTATAACTTGTCTCGCTGGGATCGTTGTGTTCACTCCCCGGGGAACTACTTCGAGGGTGATGGATGAATTTAATACCTGAGATAAGTGTACGGGTTTTTATAGGCGCAGTCTAGAAACTTTCCGATCGCACCTCGTATTGTCGTAAGACATGTATAACAAAGGAATGTATGTTGCTAACATGTTAGCTCCTTGCATTTGAGATTATCTTACAATCTTTTATTATTTGGAAATAAATAAAATACTGAGAAAAGCACGAGGGACATAACAGGATATACACTCTGAGGAGAAATCTTATGTTACGAGCTTAAGGAAATGTTATTGACAGTTGCAGACCTATTAGTCGCCCACAATTTACACTTCGTACGTGCGTCAAACAGAATATTCTCGGGAAGATAAGATTTTATTTTATTTTTATAAACGTTACTCTCTTTAAACCAATTGCTATTTCTGGACAGCAGTTTCATATGTTAGGAAATTCCTAGTATATCATTGAAATATCTTCTTCTAACGTATGCTTGACGGAGACTAAAATTCTTCTCCTTTTTGCATGGTTATCTAGAGGAAATTCTTCAGCATCAAGAAATCTTTTTACTTCATAGCATTTATGGATCAAATCTTGACTGTAGTGAGATCACGTGATTTGAATCATGTTTACGCATTTCTGTCAAATCATGCGTTTTGTAAAGAATATGAAATTTTATTGGTCTTACTAAAATAGTTTTTGCCTAATTTTAATCAGTGCAAAATAAAGTAGATGTTATTTAATAGCAACGAAATTACGGAGAATAGGTGACCTTTCAGATAATAATTCTTGTAAATATTATATATTTTCGTTATAGTATAATAGAACAGTAGAGTATAGAATGGAAGTTGAAACGAAAAAAGGGATAAATGAGTTTGAAATATACAGAACAGAATCATTGAAATGTCGTAGAAGGAAATTAGTTATGTTTTATACAAAAAAATTAAACTTCAGATAATTATTCTTCGCCACAGTCTACACATTCTTTGGGGGAAGGTAGACTTAAATAAGTTGAATAGTTCACATGAAATAAATTTCGATGAAACCGAAACATGTTGTAAATATGTTCCAAATGTAAATCGATTATTCGATGTGGAACATAAAATTATATTTTAATTATCTTATTTGTAAATTTTAAATATAATTGTGATTAGACGGACAAAAACCGAATAATAAATTTTGATTAAAGAAATACTAATGTATAATGTACTTGAAAGTAAACAAATCCAAACATTTCAACAATAACTAAATTAAAGCCTACTTTTGTTTTTTACTATTGTAAACTTAATTCTTAAAATTGTAGCTTTAATAAATCCTTCCGTGTCCTATTTCGATTAACAAGATCACATCCTTTTGTTTCTGGAAACTCCAGACAAATATTTTGAGTTTATTTCGTATAATAGTGGCGTTTGGATTATATTTTAATTTTTAATGAATTCTTATTAAACAAACATGATGACTCCGATTCTTGGTATTTTTAGATAAATATATGCAGATTGTTTAGTCATTACGTAAGTATTTATTTGTTACAAATTAATTTCTGAATTATTATGTCTATCTCCATGGGACGCGACATTTATATGTGTAACAGAATTTCGTTATGAATTAAAAAATTAAACCTGCATTACAGATAAAGACTACACCTCTAGCATAAAACATTACGTAAATCTGCTGAATAGTTTTGTAGAAAATATATCAGATATATTATATAGTGTTTCAGACATCGGATCCTACGAATTTAAACCACACAATAAACAAATAATTTTTTTATATAAAATCAATATTTTATTTACAATTCGAACTACAGCTCAGCTTGTTATATTTGTATCATTAATTTCGTTCAACTACTAAACTCTACTTAATCAATTTTTATCAGTCTAATCACAATAAAATATTATTATTAAATATTAAAATATTAAAATATTATTACAATTAACATTTAAATATTTAAAATATATTAAAATGATGCTCTCTATCGAAATGTTAGATTTACATTAGATCATCATCTTTTACACTACATGTTTCGGTTCTAAATGAACCATCTTCAGGTATATAATCCATATAAACTCACACACTACACCTGAAGATGGTTCATTTAGAACTGAAACATGTAGTGTAAAAGATGATGATCTAATGTAAATCTAACATTTCGATAGAGAGCATCATTTTAATATATTTTAAATATTTAAATGTTAATTGTAATAATATTTTAATATTTAATAATAATATTTTATTGTGATTAGACTGATAAAA